TCGTTTGTCTATTAAGGGTCACGTGTACTGCACAACAGTCCACTCTGCTCTACTGTATGGCTGTGAAACATGGCCATTGAAAGTGGAAGATATAAAAAGGCCTCAAGTGTTTGACCACCGTTGCCCTCGTAATATAGGACGTATTCCGTGGTGTCAACACACCACGTGAGTAATGCAGAAGTTAGGTGTAGAGTTTTGGGGAGAAGAGGTAAGTCAGTTGACGAGGTTATGAACCTTCATAGATTGAGATGGTTGGGACACGTACTACGTATGTCTAGTCACCGATTGCCTCATCACACAATGTTGGCTGAGGTGAATCCAGGCTGGAAAAAGGGTGGAGGTGGCCAGACTAAAACATGGCACCAATATATGAGGTCTCTGACTTTTGGTTTAAGCCATGTAGGGTGATGCAGACTAGGTGGTTGGGGTCCACGGGACAAGAGGAACCAGTGGTTGGAGACTCTAGGTGATATGGTTGAGAACCGATGTGAGTGGCTCAGATGTATCTCCACACACATTATCGTCATCTTAACGACGGTATACCAAGTCTCACCATTTTGTCATCCCTCCTTTCTTTCTTCTCATACTTTATATTTCTTTTGACTGCATTTACTTATCTTCATCCTTCACTTCACTACCTTTCTACTTGATGTGCTGATATGAGATGTGGTAACTCGGACCGTTACTCAGTAATGCCTAGTCCTATGTTGATATTGATTGATTGGTATCATAGGCATTACCGCCATCGCATCATTATGTAGAAATCCTGTACTCATCACTTCTAATCTCCTACAATCGGTATGCGTTTCAGTATAACTTTTTTCTCAGAGTCGAAAAAATTCACACCATGTGTGTATGTATTTATGACTTCATAAAAAATTAGGATAGAAATGAGTATTATGAGAATCTTACATTAATGGGTGGCAGAGGCTTTCAGTCATAGTTTAATCGACTACTAGTTTTCGTTCATTCATTCCTAGTAACTGTCTGAATATTTCAAGGGTCAATTTCTGTTGTAACTATTAGGATTCTTGTGGAATTAACGAAAGTATTATCATTGGCCAACTTATGAGATGATAAAATTGTGAAGATTAAAAAAATAGGAAGATGAGAAGGGAAAACAACTAACATGGCAAATGAGTATATCATTTTCCTCTTTAGAGCCTGGTTATAAGCTATCATAGACTGACATGGTTCAGACATATCCTGTCCTTAATTAATCAGGACAGACAAAATCTGCTTAAAACCTCACACACACACACACATACACACACACAAGTACTTCACTTCAAGCTGCTATGCTTTGCAGTAGCATTAAAAAAACAGGTGAATAGAAAAAGAGTGATATCAGAATAGACAAAGTTGTGCGAAAGAGAATAAACAATTTGAAGATAAGGGTTAGTGAAAATATTCAGGCTATAGATGAGGTCAAGGAGTGAATGCATCTGCGCCATATCATCTAGACACTTTGCAACCAGCGATTCATGTAGTGTTCATGACCCCAACCAACCATCCTACATCTCCCTATGTGGCTGAGACTAGCAGTCAAAGATATCATGAACTGGTACGACATCTTGATTTGGCCACTCTGAAACCTTTTCTAACATAATCCAACTTCTAACACATTGCACATTAAAGAAGATAGTTATTCGGCATGCGAAATACTTCATACTACAAGTCAACCAGGTGGCCTTCGGGTAGAAGATCAATCCCTATGAAGTCAGAACTACCTAAGGTTATGTCCATCAGTACATGTAAAACGAAGTTAAATAGTGACGGTGACAGTGGGCATCATCTCAGATGCCAACATTTCATAAACCCTTACAATGCTACATGAGTTCCAGTAGAGGGCTTTGATAAGCATTATCATATTCTTCATTTGTACTCCCTTCACAGTCAGTCAACGCTTCAAAACCACACGGTGGATAGTCAGATGTTGCCTTCAGACCAAGAAATATGGCAACTGTCGGTCGCCTGTAAGTATGCCTACCTTCGAGAACCTGTCCTAGGAAGAAAATATTACCGATGCACCCTCATCCAGATCTGAAACCTGACTGGTTTTCTCGAGCACCAGTTAGGTGTCGGATAACTATGGAACCTAGGATCTCGGACACAATATTAGTCAAATTAATTGCCTACTGTTTGTCACAGGAACACCTCTCTCGCATTCCTCACATAGTGCGATGATCAGTGAAGTAGATCAGTCTGATGTAACTACGTCTGATTCCCAAACACTACCTACTCTACCTTCAGCGAATTCCTTCCCCCATACTTGAAAGCTTCGGGTGGCATGCTATTTAGTCTTGCTGACTTCCATCATTTCAGTTTCCATGAGGCCTTTTCAACTTCAAGGAGAGTTGACGGACTGACGTTTACATCTAACTCAGGTTTGTGCTGAAGCATTTTTGTAAGTCAGTTGAACTGTACTGCAGATTGTTGTACACAATGTTTTAGCCGGCTCTTCTGGGAGGTTATCCACATTCCATCGTTTTCGGTAATGATTTAACTAAGCACCGTCTTATCATTTCCGGTATCCTTAATAAGCCTAAATAGTTGCTAGGTGTCACCTAACGCTGAAGCCTTCTCTATCTCTCCTGCTTACTTTGTCACCCCCTACTGTATCGTACACTGCTAACTGAAGTTGGCATAGGGTTGGAAAGGATCACAGGCGGCTCGGCTTATACTTGATACCAGTGTATTCAGTATTTGCGTGTCAATCTAAGCGGTGTTGTGTGTGTATATGTGTGTGTATTATAGTGACCGTCCCTTAACGTAATTGTGAATGTCGTTTTCTGCTGTCTCTATTCACTTTAACTGTAAACATCGGAGTGCTTTGTGGGGAATGGAAGCTCCATTGCTTTATTGAGTGTTAAGTGTAGTGGTAATGGTGGCACTTATAAGACAGACGGTGGGTTAAATATTACTTTCATATAAGGTGAGAATTCAGGTGATTGGATGGAGTATGATTCCATATTATTGTTTAGTCCTACTGCGCCTGTGTAGAGTTAGTTATGTAGTTCATACAGGAAGGGTTTTATATGTGCGTGCTCATGAGCACTTACGAACTCAGGGTTAAGGTAAGGACAAAGTTAAGAAAGAGTGCAATTCTTTTGCATTGTTGTCCATATACTAGATATAACGACGTTTCAGACAAAATTTTATCCTTCAAAACTATGTGTGAATTGTGCTTGAAACCTACATTATATCCAGTAAACAATACCATATAGAAGTATTCTCTGCTACTGTTGTAATGACACATTTTTTCAATCAGTCTTTAATAGACGTCACTTTATCTCTATGGTTATGTATAAAAGTGGTCTATTCTGGACTTCCGTCAGCTGAAAAGCACTGGACAGTGGGGACAGCTGTTGTAGTATGGTACTCGTCATTTTACACCCACCAATGACCCCAGGATGCATCAAACCCAGAACCATTAAGTGTCTCCGAGTGCATTACCGTTCGGTTGGTTGCTTGGAATCCATCGGTCTGCTGTCAATTCACAATAAAGCGTCACCATCGTCCTTGGTTATCGGTGGACATTTATCCTAGTCACTGGCGGCTTGATTGACTCTACTGGTTTCTACTTTTCATGAGGACTTCGGGTGCAAAGTGCCTTACATCACACTTTTTATGCATTATATCAGCAACTATTTCTCAGTCACACACACACACACCTATTTACTACATTTGCAGGTAAATCGAGTGTTTCAAGTTGTTATTCATCGTAGACTGACATCAGTTGGAGGAAAAAGGAAACCTGAGAGCACTGGACAGCTGTTTCCTCCAACTAGTATGGGACTCCTCAGCAGTGCGCACCCACGACCCCACCCCGCCAGGGATCGAACTCGCGGTTGCGCTATATCGTGAGCTAACAGAAGTTGGAAATATGGAGCATTTGATTCTGACCCAGTGGCTAGCTCAATGGTAACGCACTGGCCGTGGAGCCTGAAGTCGTGGGTTCGATCCCTGGCGGGATGGGGTCGTGGGTACGCACTGCTGAGGAGTCCCATACTAGTTGGAGGAAACAGCTGTCTAGTGCCCCAGGTTTCCTTTTTTCCTCCAACTGATGTCAGTCCACAATGAATAACAACTTGAAATATTTCCAAATCTCCATAACTCCCTCAAAATTAAATAGAGTATTGTTAATTTCCTTTTGGGTGTGCTAAAATTAACTCCGTGACAAACATCTACAAATGCACTCTATGTGTGCTAAGATCAATTTATGTTGTGACCCAGTTTAATGCTGCCTAGTCGATAACATCAAAAATTCGTCATACCTCTCTATACATTCTGTTGTTTGCGAAACATCTGATCCAATTATTAAGTAATCTATGTTCATATTCATACACATAAGCCATATAGTATTTCATCTATCACTATATTCATAGTAAGGCAAGGATAGAAGATACATTCTAATTCTTTCTCATCACCTATTCCTATTTCTATGCTTTCATTGTTCTCCTTTTGGTGGTGGTGGTGGTGATGGTAGTAGTGGTGGTATTGTTATGTTTAAGGTGAATCAGAACAAGTTTAGGTATACAGATATACACTTTTATATGATCTATTTGCATTGCTATACACATGTACATTTATGTGTTCACTTACCTTGTGGTTATTGATTTTTCTTGAAGTTTTTTTTAACACTATAATTAATTGTAAGTATTGGTAATTAATAATTAATATTTCAGGAAATATAGATCAGTAATAACAGTATTTTTAGTTCAATTTTTCCATAAAAACAAGAAGTTAATTATCATATTGACTATCAACTACAACAGCTATGGTTTGTTAGATTAGTAGTACTAGGTGATGATTAAAGATGAAATGAAAATTTACACCGCGGTCGGATTCGAACCAGCAACCCGATCCTCTACCAACTGAGCTGCCTACATTCTAACTTTTTATGGTCAATCTTATAATTTATTGATTATCAGACTTTTATTCCCCTTGGTGGCATTGATTTCATCATTGTTATCTTATTTTTATTTATTTCTTTTCAGCTCTCGATATATCTTCAAATGGTCTGATCAATAGTTCTAATGACTTGGATACTAATCAAACGGGGTCATCACTACAGATATCGAATTGTCATAAATGCTGTACACCTGAAGCAGAACGTGCTCCTCCTAGTGCTACCTATATAACCAGAAGTTCAGGTTTATGTGATACAGCGGCTCGAAGCAGCAGTTTAAGCAGTGGTCGGGGAAGTAGTGAAGGTATTGGTAGTCGCAGTGGAAGTGGGAGTGGTGGTGCTGTTAGTCGAAGTAGCAGCAGTGGTCATGGAGGTGCTAGTGGTGGTATCCCAATGTCAACAATAGTTCTTGGACCTTCTTGCACCATCAATACAACTATCCCACCGTCGAGTAGTTACAGTAGCTCAGGAAGTAATTCAAGTACAGGAAGTGGACCAGTTGCTGTCAGCGGGTTGAATTTGTTTCTGGACCATTTCTGCAGCATAAAATATCATTTGGCACTTCAGGTCAAATGTTAAACTATTCTACAGTTTCCATTCCTCCTGGGGATAGTAATAGTGTCATTAATTCAACATCTGACTGCCAAGTGGTCCCCTCACAACCCACTTTACCTCCATTAGCACCTGCACTTAATAGTCATACGCATATAGGAGGAGGGTTGACTACTCATCAATCTCCATCCTATTTCCACACCAAGACGACATCTCACCGAGGGGTTATAGAGTCCGGAGTAAGTTGCATTAGTCTTGATTGTCTGTTACCATTCAATTTTGCTTATATCATTAATTGTTGTCAGTACTTTGTTTTTTGAAAGTATTCTCATCATTATCAAATATCATTTTCTCCACTTTTTCATCAGACATATTTATGACATTTGTGGTGCCACTAAAAACGTGCTACATACAAGGGATACTTTTATTAAAACTTCTGTCTTTTCTGTACTGCTAGCTTAGAAAACGAGAAAGCAAATCAATTTTATGTAACCTCAAAGTCATAGAAATATCTTCATGAAGTTAGTCATAAAGTTTTTTGTTTTGTTTTCGGAAGGTGTTGAAATCTATGGAGTTGTAATGTGTACTGGGAGAATTCTATGACTAGTAACAGTAAGCCGTAGAGGTAGGGTCGGTCAGGTAGAGTACAAAAGTATCACTGGTTAACCTTTGTCTACCCCCTTTTCCCATCCTACCTTCACTATAACAGAAAGATAGTCCAACTGATTCTAGTCACCATAATTTATTGGATCATTATAACTGGTAAATCTGATCATGAAGTCAGGGTGACAGTTGGCATTAATCATCCTTCAGTTGACAACCACCTTCAAGTTATTGAGTTGAATTACTCAACTCATGAATATATCGAATTGAACCGAACCGAAATCCACTCAACATTATTGTGTATACGTTGATGCAGTTGGCAGTGTCACACCTATTGTGTATGAGGACTAGTGATATACCACTATCTGGCTGTCCAAACTTCAGTAGGTGCAGGTAGGTTAAAACCCTTGAACTATCAGTCAGAAATCAAGTACCCAGATCAATGAACCACAGTTCTATTCATTTAGTTCCCTACAATATATACAAATCGTACATCTTGGATGGTTCACCCAATGAATCATATGAAGAGTTATTATCATTAATCTCTTAAATGAAACTGCGGTACAATCGTATTACATTCTGTAATCTATCTGAGTATTTATACACAGCGATGTTAACGATAAGGCTCCTAATTTTTTATCTAGATACCAACAATTTCAACACAAGCCTCGTTCCACCTCCAGATGAATACAGAAAGAAGGAGATAGATAGATGAGGATCAACTAAGAGGGATATGGACATCTACGTACAGAAAAGTTGACCTTGTCTTAAATTGTGAACAGCAGTACACTAAAAATAAAATCAGTTAGTAAGATAGTACCCTTGAAAGTTAAGGTATAAGTCATCCACTTATAATGTTGTAGGAAAAGGTTCCGTGACTGTAACTTACTTGAAAAACTACTAAGGACTACCCAACACCGAATGTAAGTATGAAATTTGAAACAGTTAGTCCCTTTTATGAATTTCTATAGTGTAATTAGAAGACGAAGTTTATCTGAGCAATGTGATGTATTTGCGCAATACATTTCGAATAATCTGATCACACATTTACTTGTCAAGTCAATATATATTAAACCGAGGACTGGGAGGGGGGGGGGGATAAATACACCAATTAACACAATAGGGGATTAAAATTAAGAAAGATGAGGACAAACAGGAAGTGACATAGTTGGTCCTAATCTTGGTAAGAAAACAAAGTTTACCAAGGTAAGTGTATTGTAATAACAAATTGTTTTTGTACACATAAAGGTGGTTTAAATTTGTGTATGGCTATGGCTTTCGCAAATTTCAGAATACCTCCCTGACTGTTTCTATATAAAACTTTGGAAGCTGTTTGAATATTAACTTTGTGACCTGTTTCTATGATATGTTTAGCTATAGATGAAGAGAGTCGTCTCCCACCAGCGTTTATCACTGTTTCACACTACATTTGTTTTTGAAGCCATTTAGGCACATGTTCTCCCATCCTCAACTGCATAACTCGATTACTCCTTCCTATGTATGTGTGACCACACATACATGTAAACTCATCATCATCATTATCAACATAGGACCAGGCATTACTGCGTAACGGTCCGAGTTGCCACACCTCATATCAGCACATCAAGTAAAAAGGTAGTGAGGTGAAGGATGAAGATAAGTGAATGCAGTCAAAAGAAATATAAAGTACGAGAAGAAAGGAAAGAGGAGTGACAAAATAGTGAGATTCGGTATAGCGTTGTTAAGATGAGGATAATGTGTGTATACATCTGCGCCACTGACTTCGGTTCTGAGCCATATCACCTAGGTCTCCAACCACTGGTTCCTCTTGTCGCACCGACCCCAACCACCTAGTTTGCATCGTCCTACATGGCTTAAACCAACAGTCAGAGACTTCATACATTGGTGCCATGTTTTAGTCTGGCCACCTCGGGCCTTTTTCCAGCCTGAACCCACCTCAGCCAACATTGTAAACTGGTAAACACAATGGGATGTGACGTAATCACTGATGCAGTGTTTAGGTTTTTGGTGAAGTATGTATTTTGTTTTCTCCACAATGGTAAGATTCGCTTCGTAATACGTTTTCTTAATGGCTGATGTCAGTCTACGTCTCAAAATGATACCATTTAGCTCCGCTTTGTATGGTAGAGTGATATGGACATTTTTCTTAAGGACCGTGTATAGAGTTGACTTTGGTACTACTTGACCTCTACAACGGTTTATAAACTTCATCAGATATCCATTTTCCATAAGTGCTTTGCTCAGTAATTTGATGTCTTAATCTATCGCATCTGGCGTACTGATACGATAGGTCCTGTTAAACAGGCATTTTACTAAACCTCGCTTGTATTGGATTGGATAAAAGCTGTAGAAATTCAGGTATTGTCCTGTCCGTGTAGGCTTTCTGTAAACTGACCGTCTTATTGAACCATTTTCTCATCGACTGAGAAGTATATCTAGGAATGGCAGTTGATTACTGTTTTCTTTCTCACATGTCAGGCTGATGTGTGTTTGTACAGCGTTAAGTCTATTTAGTAGACAAGCCATATCCTCATGCGTCTCACAAATCACTATGATGTCATCAACATATCTCTTGTAAAGAGGAACTTTAGCGATGAGATCACCAGCTAGATTTTCAATATATGACATATAAATATCAGCTTGTAGTGGTCCTAATGGACTACCCATAGCTACACCGTCAACTTGTCGAAAGTGTTCACCTTCAAATGTGAAATGGACTTTGTCGGTACACAGCAATAATAACTCCTTCAGAAAGGTTGGAGTAATAGGAAATGGGAGGTTTTTTGAGGATATATAGTTACAGAGAATGCTAATAGTCTTGGACAATGGCACGTTAGTGAATAAGGAGTTTACATCGAAAGAGTACATAATCGTGTTTTTTATATTCATGTTACTAAGACAGTAAACAATTTGAAAAGAATCTTTCAATGAAAACTTACAGAATTCGTTTCGAACTGGATTTAACATTTTTACCAACCATTTCACCAGTTTATATGTGGTGGAACGATACATAGACAATATAGGGCGTAAGGGATGAATCTTAGGTAATCCATATAAATTTGGAAATTTGGATCCCATAGGTTTCAATGAATTAAATTCCTCTTTGCTAATGACATTCATATTCAAAAGTTTTACTAAGTGAGTGGTTACTTTTGCTTTCAATTTTCTAATATCTTCTGATGGGACATCGGCTATGAATTTGCTTTCGTCGCTGAGGATGGATAACATTTTATTTTTACAGTCAGATTTATTCATCACAACGATACCTGATCCTTTATCGGGTTTAAGAATGATTATATTCGATCTGTTCCGTAATTCACTCAAAGATTTGAAGTGTTGTGAACTCAAAATGCTTCTTTGTCTATGGAATTGGTGAGCAATATCAACTAATTTAGCCTTTAACCAACTTTGGATATCTGAAGATGTGGGTACAAGAGGGCTCAATTGGTCATAGGGATTTTCAAACTAAGCATCCATATCCAATTGAGAGATTTGCGTATATGGAACTGAAAAGTTGAATCCAAGGGAAAGCGCCTCTTTCTCATGAATTGAAAGTACAACAGAGGACACAATTAGTCACATATTTATCTGGGACGCATGGAAATAAGTTTGTATGAATGTCATTGGAAAGGGATCTAGACAATTTTTGCCTTGTTCTATCCTTTGTTTTACTGATTATGGAGCTACAAAAATTGATGAATTTAATGTGGCATATAAGAGGAATATCACACAATACATATGAAGCATGAGTATGCATTTCAGTTAAGCTGCATAACTTCTCATTGTAATTATCTATATGTGATTTCATAAGCCGAACAAGATTTGAAAGGTTGGGTTGCACTTCAGACGATCATAACATTTTGTAAAATTAAATTTTGAGGGAGTTGTGGAGATTTGGAATTATTTCAAGTTGTTATCGTAGACTGACATCAGTTGGAGGAACAAAGGAAACCTGGGAGCACTGGACAGCTGTTTCGTCCAACTAGTATGGGACTCCTCAGCAGTGCGTACCCACGACCCCATCCCGCCAGGGATCGAACCCGCGACCTTCAGGTTCCGCTGCCAGCGCGTTACCAATGAGCTAGCCACTGGGTCAGAAACAGCTGTCCAGTGCTCCCAGGTTTCCTTTGTTCCTCCAACTGATGTCAGTCTACGATAGCAACTTGAAATACTTCCAAATCTCCACAACTCCCTCAAAATTTAATTGAACTGGTGCTCATTGGTGACTAGCTTCGAGAAGCATTCCCGAAGTTCCAATGACAAGTCGTGACCGCTAGAGTCAAAGCCTGATGGCCATGAGCGCAGATACTCAACGTTGACAATGGGTGGCGGTTGCGTTATATCGTGAGCTAACAGAAGTTGAAATATGGAGCATTGGATTCTGACCCAGTGGCTGCTCAATGGTAACGCGCTGGCCGCGGAACCTGAAGGTCGTGGGTGCGCACTGCTGAGGAGTCCCATACTAGTTGGAGGAAACAGCTGTCCAGTGCTCCCAGGTTTCCTTTTGTAAAATTGTCTGGGAAAAATGTAATCAGAAATACACGATTTATAGAATTCCAATTTCACTTTCTCAGATGCAATTTTACACTTTAGGTTAAATACTTCATTAACAGTGCATGGAGGGAGTCTTCTCTTCAAAAATTTGAAACAGTTAGTCTCTTTTATGAATTTTGATAGTGTAATTAGACGAAAGTGTAACTTGTTCAGTAAGATCTTAGTTGACACTAATGAAAACATAAATCTCAGCTAGTAGTGTGTATACATCAGGACCATAAGGTCTTGCAGCGAGCAACCATAAGATTGCAAACCATCGACTGACAATGGTAAAGTGTTCATAGCGAGGCTTGGGCTCCACCTTTAGTGGGATAGTATGTACTCGCTGCTAAGGAGTTTCAGACTGAGACGAAACAGATTTCCAGTAGCTTCTCCACCAGATTCCAATCCATGATATGGATTACTCTGAAATCAACTAGTTTTCAATAATCCACTTGTGGGTTCTATTAAGGCTCAAAAGTGAATAATGCTACCTAATAGTTAAAGGGTTATTTTCAAACCACAAAGCACAACCATACACTAATCTATTTATCGCAATGTTTTATTTTACAATGACTATAGATACTGGCTAGTGGTGGAATCCATCATGTGTGTTTCGTCCCATTTGAGACTCATCAGCTAGATATACTTACCTCCTAGTAAACAATGTTTCCAAACGGCACGATACACACCTCTTCGATTCTACTACTTACAACTATTCATGATTACTATCAAACCTAAATTATTGGCACAGGAGCTCCAATCTTACCCAACCAACAGCGGGAAATTACAAGTGATAATAATAATAATAAATTTGAAGTTTCATCTAGCTGCTGTAGCACAGTTTTCCTTCAGCCTTTTTTGATAAACATTGGAATTTATTCTTATAGTGTTAATTGTCTATTTATTTTTATGCCTTTTGTGTTGTACATAGAAGTCAGATAATGAACCAAGATCAATGATTATGGATTCCTGTACCACTGACAGTATTGTCAGCCGTTGTATTCCATCTTCGTATATAACTCAAGCAATTTCCTCTTCATTCTCGTCTTCCTCCTCTTTGTCCTTCTCCTCGGCTGCCTCTAATTCTTCATCATCTTTACCACAGTCTTCTAAACAATCTCAACCAGATATTATTAGTCAAATAAATCATAAAATCCCCTGGAGATCCAATATCCATCCACATTTAACTAATCCACCACCGCCATTATCACCTGGTCTGCCTAGACGATTTGTTGATGGTATTCTACCATCTGAAAGTATTGTTAATGCTATTCAATATTGTTCTTCAGGTCAGTCATCTCCATCTCCAGCTGGATCTGCAACTCCTGTACCAACACCACGTCGAGAATCACTTGCCGGTACACCATTATCTCAACGTACAAAAATCTTAGCATTAAATAGTATAAATAATACTGGTGTTGTTGATGGAATTGGTATTTCTATGCATAGTAACAGTACAATGCATCCACCTCCAATAGCTACACGTCCAGAGAAAACCAAGTCTATCGTAAGTTGTTATTGTTAACATTGTATTTTATGTTAGATGGATAGATGGATAGATGAAAAGCAATAGGTTTCGTTGAATAATTCCCTTTTACACCTTTTATAATGATTTCATTTTAAACTTATTTCAGTATCCATCAATTTCTCGAATTAATTTACTGAATATACTGATTGACATTCATATGTAGCTTATTGGTCACATTTAACACCCAGTTACCCGTGGAGAGATGTAGACTTCCTGTTGTGGTTCTTGAGATGGGAAGGAATCAATGATTGAGGGCTGTTGGTGACATGACTGGAAGTTAGTCAAAATGGGGGAGGTGTATTCACTCTTTAACGTCTTCTAATGCTTGAATATTCTCACTAACCTTTATCTTCATATTGTTTATTGTCCCATGAAACCTTATCTACTTTGATATCAGTCTTTTTCTTTCCACCTGTTCTTTGTACTCTACTGTGAAGTGTGGCAAATTGGAGTGATGGACGTTTGTATGAGGTTTCACGTTGGTTTTGTCTGATCCATATCACTGAGAGTCTTCAACCACTGATTTCAGTTGTCGATGGGACCCATAACCAGGAAGTCTGCATTCCCCTACACGGCTGACATTAACAGTCGTATACTTCATGCACTCATAAAAAGCAGCAATCCGAGCAAAGAATATTGTTGTCAATCAATTCTTGGATTAGGTTCTACAATTAGAAAATACATAGAGCCATGGCTCATTGTTTTAAGGAGATAGGGATCAACTATTGGGTCACAGGTTTGAGCTCTGCTCCACCTAATGAAATTTGGGGAGCTTAAGTAGTGTAACACTAACCCTCACACAATATGTTTGGCTCATCGCTCATTGAATGAATGGGGCACAATGTTGCTGAGCTCATTTCAGTGTTGTGGTTTTTTTTCCAGTGATAAAATGCATTTGTACGGCGTAAAAATAAGCCAAGTTTGAGGCAAATACATTTTCAAAATAGAGGGAGGAATAACATTTGAACATGATCTTTCTGAATGTTCAATTCCAGTTTAATCAACCTTATTGCCAGAGACTCAACTTTGTTGAACAAGCATCAGCATTGCATATGGTATTGTTTTTCATACTCGAGGTACGATATCAAAAACCCTGTTATCATTTATTTAGTGTCCTGTAACTACTAGGTGCTCTATAACGAAACGTTTCACCATTTTCACTTCATCTTTTCCAAACCAATGCTCTCGCATCCGAAGACGTACATGCCTAATCCTACGCCCTATGTAACTTGTCCCATGGGAACAGTTAAACTGATACATACAGTATAGAGAGCTAAGACTAGGTTGGTAATCTTTTAGTCTCATACTGACCACTGTCAGACTACTGAAAGATATGGAAAGACGAAGTGTATAGAACTTCCTATTGTATTGTATTGTATTTGGAGCGTCTCCACTGAATTGTAGTCGTAGAAATAGAGGTTAATTTTTAGTCTGACCACCCTCAACTGTTTACCAGCTCAAACCTGCTTCAGCTAACATTGTTGTACAAGTTAGACTTCGACTAGACATGTGTAACACGTTATAACCATGCGAATTGATGAAGGTTCACAACCTCGTCAACTAACTTTTCTCTCCTCCCAAAAAATGTACACCTTACTTCAGTATTACTGATATGGTGACATAACGAGACATCGTCTACACAACGTTGATCAAATACTTTAAGCCCAATCATTTCTTCTACTTTTAATGTCTATGTTTCACAGCCACTTGGTAGATCAAAATGAAGTGTAGTGCAGTTCAGTCGGTCCTTAATTGGCATTCATATAACATCCTGATGCTATAAATAGATCACTGTTCAACATCTCTATCAATCTAGCTGAATAGAAGATATCTGACTATGTTCATCAATATTGGTGACCGGTTTGGTTACATAGTGATCAGTCTTTTGCTAGAAGCTTATTGGCTGCCAATAAAACACACAGTTCATATTTCTAATGTCTCAGGATTTATTTATTGGAGACATATAGTCTAGTGCTATACTAAGTACGTCGGCTTGACTGATAATCTAATTGACAGTGTTACCTACGCCAAGTATACTGTATTGAAATTTCGTTTGACCAGGGTTTGGTGTCCAGTTAACAGTGTTTGGTCAGTCGATTTCTGATTCTGTTTTCATCCTCATCCTCATCATCATCACCAATACCCGATCATCATTGAAAAGCTTAATCTGTTTGACATGGTGTATTACCCATTAAATAAACACGTGTGTGTGTGTGTGTGCATAAAGAAAGTCATTTTAGAAAAAATTGATATCACCTCATCAACCGTGTACACATTCATACAGTAGGTAATGAGGGTTAATGATACTACCTGAAGGCTGAGATGGTGCACTATTCAAACTGGCAACTCATTAGTTTACAAGTCGAATGCCTAGACCAGCGAGTTGAGCCATACTGTCTACAACTGTATGGGGGAAATACCGATTTCCAGGTTGCCTAATGGGTATAGTAGAAGCTGCTAGTTAAAGACTCTAAATCGATTGCAATAGCTTATATACATCAAGTGTCTTATCTTCATTTTAACCTTTTCTTACCAAATTTCATCATTGTATTAAAACCTCTTCGTCTTTCTTCTGCATGACTTCGTACGAGTTTGGATTATATGAATTTCACTTCTTTGATTTTCACTTGTTACCGATGGTCTCTATGTCGACGTGGTGGTTGAGTTCTCTTATCTCACAATGACCTAACAATATATTGCCATACCAGAAAGGTGTATCGGATAGTGGTAAGAAAAAGGCTGTTAACGTGTTACTGTAAATTGCTACTCTATGACAGGGCTCAGTGGGCGAAGTCGTACTACTGGTTGGATGCTGTATGACAATAGTAAGATGTTTGCGTTGGATGACCAATAGTACTATGGTGATACTACCTTCCCTATATGGAACACTTCCCTCCACCACGTGACATACCGATACAGGCGATATGTATTCATAGTCGGATTCGAAACTAATGGACTTCTTTAGGCCACTGCTGGTCATCCAAGGGAAACACCTTACTGCTGTCACACCCCATCCAGCTAGCAGCAGTACGACTTCGCCCTGAGACCCCCATCATAGTGTAGCAATCTACACTATAACGGTAACTACTTTTCGTCTAACCACTATTCAACAGACCTTTCTGGTATGGTACGACCTCGAGGGAACAAGCCCGACCACCACGTCAAGGTAGCAGCTATCGGTCGGAACTTCTTTAGGCCTGTGTGTAATCAACCTTCAATAGATGTTTCTGGTTCTTCGGTCACACACTATAACCCTTTTTTTTAGCCAACCTAAGAAACTGTAAACTTTCATGGTATGGGTAGCTGAAAAATATCAACTGCTATCAGAAGACTGTCAGCACTCAAATTCATTTAGATAGATCTGAGGTATGACAACCTGAAGAATAACTATGCAGAAGTTGTATCATGTATCCACATAGAAGTGTGGATTACATTTGAAAAGTTAAACAATAGTGGACCACTTTTAGATTAGAAAAGTCAAATCGAAGAAATATTTTGTTATTTTTATTGTCCTTCAAAAATCTGTTAAACATTGCTATCCTGTCTTTGTGTGTATCTATCACAAAGATCAATTTATTCATCTTCAGTTTGTAGGCCATCGATTTTATTTGGTTGTTTGTTTTTTCATGGAATTCAAGGTCGGTGTTACTAATGTGGAATCCTGTAAAGAGTTGTGACAAACTATTCATATTGACATGTATCTTGTGTATTTGTGTAGACATACTCTAATCTCCGTCATTTAGTCACATATTCCAACTTTATTGATGAAGACAGCCGGTAAACAATTCAGTGATGAAGTGGTGTGTATATTTGGACTTAGTAGATATCGTCCAAATGGCTACTGAATTGGTTACTGTTCCCTGGGGTATGCGACTGGTTAGGAGAAGAGAGAGAGAGAGAGAGAGAGAGAGAGAGAGAGAGAGAGAGAGAGAGAGAGCATCAGTGTATGATGCAATGCTGTAGGATGAAGAATAGTTGTATTGTGTTAGCATCTGTTGTTAGTATCTCATGACTAGGTGGATGAGGTCACTGTGATATCCAAACCCGATGAAACTAAGGACAAATGCCAACCTCTACAGATTAGCCTAGAGTTTTAACAGCATCGTTTAGTTTTCTCTCGAACTGACTTTCAAACAATTAGTGAAATGTAATCGTTTATTAGTGAAGAAAAGGTTTCAGTAACTTCTGTTTATCAAGCTATACAATATATCCCATTTATAATTGGTAAAAATATACACAGAATGCAATTGGTGGTGGTGGTGGTAGCGGTGGGAAGCTGTTCAATTGGATGAAATATAATCAGTAGCATTGATAACCAATTACTATCGCCTTTTGTCACCTTTCCTTCTTTATTCACCCTATTGGTCTGGTCGATGATTATTGTTATTATTATATCGGCTAGGATTATTTAAGTTGTTTTTCTTCCACATCTTTGTACCTTTTAAAAGCTGAAGGTCACTTTCTATCGAAAGCATTTCACTTTATCAATAAAGAATTGTAACTATATTACTAAATAACACACTGGAGTCGAAGTTGCGTCATATAAAAAGTGGACATCTATTCCTTCATTGTTCTATACATAAATAAGAAACTTTATTGATAATACTATCAATAGACACAAAATCAACGCCTGTGGGCATAACTTCTTTATGCTACCTGTCTGTAAATAAACAGCAACACCAACTAACACACACATGAAGGCGTAAATCTCTTTGTCATCCCAATCAATTTATTGTTTCGATAAGTACTCTCTTTTTACAAATCGATATATATCGTTGACAAAGTACTTTCTATTCTTTTTTTATTGTTCCTCTGCGAAGAAACTATCTGCGACCAGGTGACCTTGAAAAAATCTATTGATTAGTGAAAATAAATTTGATTACTTCAAGTTGTTATTCATCGTAGACTGACATTAGTTGGAGGAACAAAGGAAACCTGGGAGCACTGGACAGCTGTTTCGTCCAACTAGTATGGGACTC